TTTTGTCCAGAAATATGAATTAAAAATCTTAACTTCAGGATAATTCAAGATATTTGTGTCCCAAAAAATTAAAATGAAAAATTGAAATTTAAAATATATTGGTTATTCCTAAATAGCAGCCCTTTAGAGACTACAGTGGCTACTTGATGTCATTTCAACTTGGTTAATTTTGAAACTTGAAGTTTGGGCTTAATAAATCTGGTCCAAGCAAATCTCAGCCCAAATTATAGATACCCTTTATTATAGATATCTGTGTCCCAAAAAATTAAAATGGAAAATTGAAATTCAAATTATATTGGTTAATTTCATAAAGCACCATCTTTTAGGTCTAATTAGCCATTTATAGATACTCTTTGCTATATTACGTGTTATAGATATTTTTTATGTTTTTATACAATGTATTTCATGTATTTAAGTTGTTGTATTCATTAATACAACCAAAAAAATATGCGTAAAAACTGGAATTCCAGCTAAGTTTTAAATGTAGGATGTAACTATAATTAGATATTTGACTATAAAGTATAAATAGTATCTATAGTAATATTTTAAAATGATATTTATTTAAAATAAATAGGGTAGTAAGGTTTTCGCGTAAAAATTCCAAATTAATACCTTCCTTCATTGGTAATTAAACCACTCTTCAAGTCTTTACCTTCCTTTTATTCGAAGCCTACATACATTTCCTCTTGAAAAAATCTCCGTCAATTTTCCTCTCTCCCCTCAAACATCAATGGCGTTGGAATGGGTTGTTCTCGGCTATGCCGCGGGTGCAGAAGCAATCATGCTCCTTCTTCTAACAATTCCGGGTCTTGCCCTGCTCCGTAAAGGTCTCATCACCGTGACCCGGAATCTCCTCAAACCGTTCCTCTCGATCGTGCCCTTTTGCTTGTTCTTATTAATGGATATCTACTGGAAGTACGAGACCCGACCCAGTTGCGAATCACACGAATCATGTTCCCCATCTGAATACCTACGTCATCAGAAATCCATCATGAAGTCTCAGCGCAACGCGCTCCTCATCGCGTGTGCGATCGTTTTCTACTGGCTGTTGTACTCTGTTACTGGCCTTGTTGTTAAAGTGGAGCAGTTGAATAAGCGCGTGGAGAAGTTGAAGGCTCAGGATTAGGATTGAACTGAATGATTCGTTTGGCTATTGGATCGGGTTTCAGGTTTTGGGATTTTCATTTTCGGATCAGATCGGCTCCACTTTTTTGGTGCTAGTTATATGGTATGGGATATTTAGTGAACTGTGTTTCTGTTGTACTGCCTTGATCGTTAATTACTAGTAATAATGGTGTACGCATTGGTTAACTGCTCAATAGGTTGGGTTATATTGTTCTGATATTGGGATTTTGCTAATTATACAATTAGCTAGTGCTTGTTTGATTTGTTTGTTAATTGCTGCATGATCCTGTTGATTCATGCTGGAGGTTTATCTAATTGAAGGATATATGTGGAATTTATGACTGAACGTGCAATGCGTCTTGGATTTCCTTTTATATTATGTGCATTCTCCTTGATATACCGTGTATGCTCACTTAAAGCGAGATTAAAAAACAAAATGCGAGAATCAGCCAATGTTGTTAAAGGTTACTTAGCTGAGCGTCTATCCTTGGCAGACCCCACTTGTAGGGATCCACTGGGTTGTTGTGAAAAGCTGCTTAAAGTGCCCTTAAGCCCTGAAGCTCGTGAAGCTCAGATTGTGCACTTTGCCTCACTTAGTTGGGCTTCACTGTAGGCGTCGAGGTGCTAAAGCATGGTGTCTTAAGCGCATAATGACATATACATAGCTTAATTATAGTTTTTCTATATATTTGTCCAAATAAATATTGTTTGTACTTATATTTACATTTTCTTGCATTACATTTCTATTTTCTATTTTTTCTTGGTTGGCATTTTTCTTTGCTAAACCACGTTTTTATTATGCTATGCACTTAAAGCTCCAATAGACGTTTGCGTTTTTTTGCACTTTTGACTACTTTGGAATTAGAAAAAGATTGTATGTACCCCTACCAAAACTTACTTGGCTTTCTTTTGCATTTCTCAGTTTTTTTTGTTAGTTTCTCACTCTTTAAGTTATGCATTTAGAACAATGGAGCTGCGGTATAAAAGTTGAAAAATCGAGCTTTTGGCATCTTGGCTGAATAAGTTGAGTTAAGATGAAAAGAATAAAAAAGGGAAAAAACCGACACACATAATTAAAAGTTGAAACTTTATTTCTTCATCAATGCAAAAGTATGTTAATTGATGTTGTGGAGACTGAGTATAGGTAGTAGCACACGTTCCAGAGATGCTGAATGGAATCTTATAATCTTGGTAAAGTTCTTGATTGTTGTGTATGTTGGTAGAGATTTCGATTCAAGATATTGAATAACTTGTCTGACCTTTTTGTTAACAAGGAAATTTCCAAAATTGAAAACAATACTAAAATTATTTGTCCTAGGTAAATAAAGGAAGTGGAAAAGAGAAATAATCATAAATGTGTCCAGAAGTGGATGATTGAGTGATTGATATACAAGAGTGACCCCAGGTTTCATTCCCATGTACAACGCTCACTTTATGAGTGAGTTTATATGCTCCAGGCTTGTTGAACAGGATTACCTGCCTCCTTTGCTTGTGGCGTTGTAGCAGACTACCCGTTGTTTAGTCGTGCAAGATAATCATACACGTCTTTCCTTGAATGATATCATAATCTTTTAGTACCTACAGACTTGAAATATCCTAATGGCCCATGCATTGTCTTTTTGAATGATGAGGTGGACATGGTTACTTGTACTCATGGTTGTTCTTTTGCATTTCTTATTTTTCTCGTAAGTCTGCTTGACCTGTATGTCAACAGATTTAACCAGCTGTCTATTATGGTGAACTTTGTTCTCTTTGGTTTTTGCTGGGAGCTTCGTTTGCTGATGCTTGATGCTGTCTGACATTTAGTAGTGTTAAGTTATGCAGTAGTTTACTTCTAACTTTAACTTTCTTTTGTTGTGCATAGCACATTTACTTTTAAGGTTTTCCTGCCAAGCTAGTTGGCCCCCTTTGTGGTGGAGCTCCTAATTGACAAGAAAGTTAACACCACCATTGCTTCCTATTTAAGGATGCCTATGGGATGGGAGAGTGACCCCCCCCCCCCCCCAAAACCCCAAACTCATTGTCACAGCTCCTCTAATTGTTGCTTTATCTTCATTTTTTTTCGTTGAGAGGGGCTCCCAGAGACATCTGCACCCTTATTCACACCGTTAACCTCCTCACTTTGAAAATCCAACATCTGTAGCCTTACGCGAACCGCCAGGGTAATCGTGACTTGCTAGGAGTCGGTGAGGTCTCAAGGTGTAGAGAAGGATTTACCTATGCTTACAGAATGGGAGTTTCTAAGTATTAACTATGCTTACCGAATATAATTCCTAAGGATAGAGCTCAAGGAGCTGAGAATAGGATTGAACAGCAAAAGGAGTAGGATTTTAAAATTGTTTGAGTTGATTGACTTCGTTGGTGAAAGAACTGAACTAGGTTGTTTAAGATTGATTGGAACTTCTATTTTTCTGTCTATACTAATTCAAGAAATGGTATCAAGACTGAATTGCCAGGGAAAAAAAAGTAATGAATCAAATTTGCATTAAGAGAATTGACCATGATCTTTCCAAACACTTAACAGCCTGATATCTCCTTGTTTGAACAGCTATTAAGCTAGTATTTACGTGAATATATGACCAAATATGTTGTGGAAGCAGCCATTAATGTTTGCATTACGGTAGGTTGTCAATATCACACCCCTTGGGGTGCGGTTCTTCCCCGGACCCTGTGTGAACGGTCCTTCCCCGGACCCTGTGTGAACGCGGGATGCGTTTTGCACCGGATTGCCTTTGCTTTGCTCCACAAACAATCTTAGAAGGGTATTTTCCTTTATGTTTTTGTAATTCTCTAACAAACGATGACCAAGCATCGGAAAAATTAACATAAAATTAGGTGAGGTATTCGAGGTGCCAATGAAAAAGTTTCGTCTTCGTTGATTGGAAGTCTCTTTTGTGCATATACAGAATATACGGTGTTAAAACTATCATTTTATGTCCTAATTTACAGGAAGTGAAATCCCAAAATGAACCTTCTTTAGAAAATCCAACAACACAGTATTTTCCGGGAAACTGGCAATTGGATTTGTGTATATAACTTTGATGGAAAACGATGAGTTCAATTGAATCCATCAAACTCGTCCTATAATAGTGGAATCATGTTGGTGTTTCTTACTTCTCTGTCCAGAGATGGAATTTCCACATATCAACCTATAGAACGTGAAGTTATATTTTATATGACTCGACTGTATAAATATTATTTATATCATTAGTGGATAAAACTCAAATTCTCTTTTTGACATGGAAGGTGTACTGCAAGAAAGTGAAAGGCTTTTTGGTAAAACACACGGGAGAAATTCAAAAATAGTCAGATTTACGGGTGGTCATTCAAAAATAGCCACACTTTTAAAAGTAATCGAAATTTAACCACTTTTCATGTAAAGATAAATCTGAACGAAAACACTGTTTAAAATCTGAAAAATACTTCAGTATATTATACTGGAGTTCCAGCATAAGTATATTGGTACTCCAGCATATTATACTGGAGTTCCAACATAAGTATATTGGAACTCCAGCATAATATAATAAAGTTTCAGCATAATTATACTGGAACTCCAACATAATATACCGGAGTTCTAGCAAAGTATACCAGTCAAGTATAATAAGCTGGAAGTTCATACACAGATGCGCCAAACTCCAGTATATTATGCCGGACCGATCTCTGTTGCAGCAAAATAGTGGCTATTTTTCAATGACTTGGCAAACGCTGGCTATTTTTAATGACCAGTTCGAAAACTGGCTAGCCCGTGCTATTTTTACAAAATATACTTATCTAAAAATTAAACCAAAACCATATTTAGATAGCCCATATTTGTGTATGTATATAGAATTATAGATGGCCCATATTTGTGCATGTATATAGTTCTAATGGAAAAATTAAACATCAAGATTCGGATCTTTTAAAGACATGAAAACGTAAAGGTAACTTCACCATCTTCAGGCACTCATTACATAGTACCTATACAAAGGTAAAGTTCCTAAAAAAGACAGTGAGATAGTAAGTCTATCATGCATTTACATAACTCCAATTTGGAGAAAACAAAACAAGACAAAAACTAAATACTTCCATGATTAAGCAGATTACTCTAACTTACTCCATCACCATTGACTTCCTAGTTTTTGATAACAGAAAAAATCCCCGAGGGCAGGTGGTGCATGGTTTGAAACTTGGTGGATAATGAGGTCGCCCTTCTAGTCTTATCCACTTAAGTCTATCATGCATTTACATAACTCCAATTTGGAGAAAACAAAACAAGACAAAAACTAAATACTTCCATGATTAAGCAGATTACTCTAACTTACTCCATCACCATTGACTTCCTAGTTTTTGATAACAGAAAAAATCCCCGAGGGCCGGTGGTGCATGGTTTGAAACTTGGTGGATAATGAGGTCGCCCTTCTAGTCTTATCCACTTAAATATAAGGCTTTTACCTGTGGCAGGTTTGAAAAACATGACATGCGCCTAATCTACACACCATGTGCTACTCTCTTACCACTAGACCAAACAGTTAGGGGTTCATCATTGATTACCTATTTACAAGCTACTTTTTACCTTTGTCGTTAACATTTTAACCTCCTCCGTTAGGCTTATGGAAACTAGGCCTCTTCTGCAGGATTTGGTAGTGGTGGAGCAAGTACTTGAGCCCTGCACCCCAAGTGCAAAACAGTTCCATGGCCACCGGAGCTGCAGTTGATTCTTGAAAATAAGTCGACTTTAGTCCGCCTACTTTGTGATGTGAGTCGACTAACTAGCAACTCTAATGCTTCTTTCATCCACCCATTTTGGCAGAGTTTTCTTGCTTCTCGCACGCTCATCTGCAAAATTGATGTTTGGAAATATTAGTAAGCAAAGTCGATTATGTGATGAAGGGGAGCCTTGGCGTAACTGGTAAAGTTGCTGTCACGTGACCAGGAGGTCACTAGTTCGAGCCGTGAAAACAGTCTCTTGCAGTAATGCAGGGTAAGACATTGCGTACAATAGACCTTTGTGATCCGGCCCTTCCACGGATCCCGCGCATAGCGGGAGCTTAGTGAATCAGACTGCCTTTTAAAGAGAATTATGTGATATTGTTTATATGGAAATTTACAGTATGGGCAGCCGCATACCCAAAATCTTTTGCGGATGTCTTTCTCAGGCCAATAATCTAGCTCCTCTGTTACAAATAAAGGAAACATGTGCCCTTCATAGGCAGTGTCACCATTCTTGTTCTCAAAGTACCAAATTCCTAATTTACCCTGCAATAAGGTTTTCAACCCAAAGGACACTTGTTAGGACTACATGTAACAACCTAAAGGTAGGCATTAACGCTTTATCAAGACCAAGGCCAACAAGATTTAAGATCAAGAAGGAAAAAAGCAGTGGCGAGGTCAACCAGAAATAATTTAATCTATTTTTCTGGCTTGGCTAGGAGGGATAGCCGAGCCATTCCCTTTTCTTTTGGATAGCAGGTTAGGAAAAATCACTAAAGAAAAAAAATCTATTCAATTAGCAAAAAAGGAGAGAAAGGGATCCGAACCCTCGATATATCTTTGTTAAAACTATATCGGTTTTAAAGATCTTTTTTCACCCTAGCATACTTAGTTGACTTGTTATTGCTAAGCAATGATTTGGCAAATAAGAAAATAGTATTTAAAAGACACTAACTCACTCAAAATTCAGGATTAGTAGTGAAAAGTTGCAAATTAAAGAACTTTCAAAAGGCTTTCGGCTTCATAATCTAATTTTTATTGACATATATTTTCAGACCCTACTTGTGAGATTATACTGTATTCGTTGTTGTTGTATATCAGCCATTTGAAAGGTCCACAACAGTCAACTCTTTAACCAAAGCCAATACTCTTCCATATCTTGTCACAGCCATATAACCAAATACAGTAAGACCTCTCTATAACATCTCTATATAACAGTTATTTACTATAAAAGTCATTTTTTGCTTGGAACCGATTTTTATGTAATGTTATAATATATGTCCTATATAACAACACTTAACTATAGCAACCAAAAAATATTATAACAAACGAGGTTGTTATAGAGAGGTTGCTTATAGGCACTAAACTAAAAGCGATCGCTGTTAAAAACTAACCTCAACATCACCGCAAACACCAGCTTCCTCTATTGTCTCGCGTCTTGCTGCATCTTCAATTGTTTCATCCTTTTCCCAACCTCCCTGGCATTACAAGAGCAAGATTTGTAAATAAAACAGACAAATCATCTGATATACAGCTTAGAGAAAAACTACCATTAAGTTTGAGAACCATAGATCTGTTTGCTACCTTTGGAAACAACAATCCTTTTCCTTTTCTCTGAGGACTTATGAGAAGAACTTCAAATGCATCTTCATCCCCCATAGATAGGTCAATAATATCTTTATATCTGTACGGTATACATCTGCAGAAGACATCAAACTCATCTCAAGACAACATAAGTGTAAAGATGAAGTTACCAAATCTAAAACTCATTCTGATATGAAGAAATATTGTAAAGCATGTAGTTTAAGTCCGGTGCACTAAGCTCCCACTATGCGCAGGGTCCATGGAAGGGTGGGACCATAAGGGTCTGTCTGTACGCAGCCTTACCCTGCATTTTTGCAAGAGGATATTTCCATGGCTCGAACCCGTGACCTCCTGGTCACATGTCAATAACTTTAGGAGTTACGTCAAGACCCCCTTCCATTTCACTAAACAATCAAATACAGTAATTCAGGAAAAAAATGGTCCTTTTCCCATAGAAAAACAAAGCATGTGATGAGGTGAACAAAATGCCAAGAGCACATGATATTGACTTTTTCAAGCTAATAGAAACAGCCAAAAGAAAAATAAACACCTAACTACAATAATACACAAATTGAAGAAGAAAATGTCAAAATGAGTACCAATTGATAAGATAAAGAGGTGGAAAAAGAATGTTAACCAGTTGTTTATTTTTATCAATCTTTTGGAAAATGTCAATACTGAAACAGTTCACCTCAAGTTCATTTTCGAAAAATACAAAACTTAGTTTTCAGACGCCAGTAAATTGAGAAGCAGCAAACAAGTAATTATTTCAAAAACTCTAATTTGTGAATCAATCCATTTTGCACACAAATAAAAGAACATCAAGCACGTAAGTTGCGTGGACTGTTCGTTTTTGGTGCCGCACCCGTCTTGACATGGGATGGGACGGGTGCCGGTACGGGATACATCCCGAGTTCGGTCAACTAACTTCGGATACTTTTACCCGAGTCTATCGACAAATTTGGGGGGGGGGGGTGCATACCTTCAATATTGTAATACGTTTGTCTCATATTTGCTGTTTGTGTTTCAGAAATATCAAGAATTCAAGGGGTCGTGTTCTAAATTTGGACTTCTGGTAGATAGTAGCAGAGATATAGATGGAGGGTTTTTCACATAATCTCTCTCGAAATTCATATAGCTCTATTTTTATAATTTTGAATTTTCTTAATCGAATTTTCGTATCCACACCTGGATCCATACCCCAAATCTTAAAATTTAGATTTTATCGAATCCAATACTCGGATCCATACCTGTATCAGACCCGAGTTCGAGCAACTTAGTCTAAGCACCCTCTGGAATCTTGATGATGCACCACTGCCACACTCCCACTTACAGAACCAAAGGCTGAAAATTGAAGTTGTTCTAATAATTGCAAAGTGAAATGGACCATTGATTCTGTGTCATTTTGTTCATCCTAGAAGTCAACTCTTCATTAATTATTACACCCTCTTTCCTCCCACCTCTCAAACCAAAATTTTAGGTAAAAAGAAACTCATGGTCTACATTAATAAAGATGTGGAAAATATATATATATATTAATAAGTAAAGGTGAATTCAGGATTTGAATATTATGGATTAGAGTTTGGAATTCTACCTAACTCATCTGATTTGTTAGGTTCAAACTTTACTATTTATACTTATTCAGTGAATGTTCAACAAATATATAGGGTCTGAGCCAAAGTTATCAGGTTCGGATGATAAATCCGTTTACTGTTGAGGAAAGAGGAGTGACTTAAGCAATTCTAAAATTCTCATTAGAGAGGCTAGTTCCAAAATTCGAGCTTATTAAAGAGGCTAATTCCAAAATTCAACCATAGAAACACATTGTGCTAATCTCAGTTGCTCCAAAGGCCCATCTTGCATGATTTACATTAATAATTAATCACCCAAATTTGGACTAAACCACAAAATTTTGAAGGAAAAATAGAAGAAGTCATAGTCTAAACAAATCATAAACATTTGTGTGGCTATAAACTTAAAGTTAAATTAATTCTAAATATATAAATAGGAAAGAACATCAATAAATTGGGGGGGCGAGAGAGAGAGAGAGGAGTTTTTGAATTAACATACCCAACAACTTGGCGACGACCCTTGTTATAACGCTGCAAATGCCGGCCAGTACGTGAAACCATAACCACCATACTTTTTCAATGGGAAAAATAAATAAATGAAGTCTTTATTTTGAAATACTAAGAGTTACTATATAGATTGTAAAAACTGGAAAAGAAGAGAAACCCCAGAAAAGAAATGAGGAAAAAAGGGAGATTTACAATTTTGGAGAGAAAAATGTTGATGATAATGTCTATATGTTTCGTTTTCTGTAGTAATCTGCAGTGCAAAAACCGTTACTTAATGATAAGAAAGGGCGCCTTCAACTTCCTTTTTTAATCGGTGCGTTTGGAGGTATACGTGTACCTGACGCGGCACGTGTGTACGGTTTCTCCATTTTCTATTATTAATAATTGCACCAACAGTAAATGTGACGTACAAGAAGATTTGGACGTCGAGGATTAGGGTCGTAGGTTGATAGATAGTAATGTGTTCCTCCTAAGCCGACCAATAGTACTAGGACTATTTTTGTAATTTCCTATTTATACTTCTTTATTATGCATGTTGTGACATTCACGCTCGTTACCATGTTACATTGTTGCTAATATTCTTTGTTGTTTGGTTGCCTTATCTTCAATGTTCCTTGAGTCGAGGGTCTATCGAAAACAACCTCTCTATCTCTATGAGGTAGAGGTAAGAATTGCGTACGTATACACTACCCTCTCAGACTCCATATATGGGATCAAACTTGGGTCTGTTGTTGTTGTTGTTAGATGCTCACGGATTCTAGTACATTACACTTCTTGGATGCGGTTGAACCTTGTGTGAACACATGATGCGACTACTCTTTAACTATTACTAATTGGAATTAAATTAAAAGGATCTAAACAATGCAAAATTCTTGAATATAGAGAATTTCGGATTTGAACTTTATTTAGTTTGAGTTAGATATTCTATTACTTTTCAATTAATTTACTAGATTCGAAATTTTGATTTGTGTTTGTTTAGTGGATCTTAAACACATATATAAAGTTTGAACTAAATTTACTAAATGCCGTTGAACTCACAATTTACACTACATCGACCCTACTCTAAAGCTCTTTGAAATTTAAACTCGTGATATGACACTATAAATGAATGTGCCTCATGAGGAGTGAGTGTTACAAACTATATATGGCTAGGGTGGTGGAAGGGGATTTATTCGAAACTTTTTTGCTCAAAAATTATATTGTATATATAAGTTTATAATTAATTTTTATGTATAATTAATAAATATTGAATTCTCTTGGTGTGTCATATATTTATTTTTTAATATTTCGAATTCCTTTGATAAAAATTCCGACCCCGCTATCGATTATTGGTCAAGCTTCTCCAAATTCAAAAGTACTTTTTTTTCAAAAAGAGTGTGCATTTTTCAAATTTGAAGTGTTTGGCCAAGCTTTTAGAAGAAAAAAATGCTTTTGAGGAGAAACAGAAAAAAGTTGTTTATCTCCAAAAACACTTTTGAAAAAAAATACACTTAGAAGCAGTCTTTAAAAGCTTGCTCAAACACTAATTGCTGCTTAGAAGTGATTTACAAATTAATTAAATAAACACAACCTGCTTCTCACCAAAAATACTTCTGAAAAAAAAAATACTTCTCAGAATAAGTTAATTTTGCAGTTTGGCCAAATAAGCTAATGATCGTGCTCACAGCAGAGTGAGTGACGTTATTGGACTGTAGCAAGGTGGAAATTTCCTTTGTCTAATCAGCAATATTAATGAGGCTGAATTAATGTCAGTTCCACTTACCAAGAATTTAGGGATTGTTTGGTTAAAATATGGCCTACGCTGTGATAAGTTATGCTAAGATAATTTATGTTGGGATTAATTATGCTAAGATTAGTTATCCTGCTATTATTTTTTATCCACTGTTTAGTATGTTGTATTAAAAATGACAATTACATAATTTTTAAGAAGAAGGTATAAGTTATTCCGACACTAATTACCCCACCACCTACAAGGTATAAGTTATCCTAGTACTTATTTTAATCCCGGAATAACTTATACCGGGTAGGGATGGCAAACGGGCGGAGCGGGTCGAATATGAGCGGGTCAAAATGGGTAATTGAAAAAAACAAATAAATTATCCGACCCTACTCGTATTTGAGAAGGATAAAAAACGGGTTTATCCGGCGGATAATATGGATATCTATATTATCCATGACTTCTTAAATATGATCACTTATGAGAGAATTCCTAGTCTTCCATAGTTGAGGAACTCCAATTTGAGACTTTACAAATGTAAAAGTTAAACACATAAGTTATTCATTGTTATCCATTTGGTTAATCATTTTCTAAGTGGATAATATGGTTTTTTATCCATATTCGACTCATTTTTAAATGGTTCATTATCCAACCCATTTTTTGATGGATAATATGGGTGGATAACTATTTTCTTTTAACCATTTTGTCATCTCTGATACCAGGTTTGCTAACTAAACAAAGTATTAAGGTGACATTAAATTTTTATACCAGCACTATATCTACTTATATCTCATACCAAACGACCTCTTAGTGTTTACAATTCCTCCGGTATTAAATGTACCAACAATTTCATCTACTTTCACAAGCTTCATACTTTTTTCTTCCTCATAAAATATCATTCACAACTTATAGCCCGTTTGGCCATAAAAAAAAAATCGAATTTTTTTCACTTTTTTTTGGAAATAAATTGGCCATAAAATTTTTAATTTTCACTTGAATATGTATTTTGAAATTTTTCGAACATTTGAAAAACTTCAAAAAATAGTTTTTCAAAATTTCCATTCAGATCACTCACAAAAATTCAGAAACAACCCAAAATTATATTCATGTCCAAAAACAACTCTAATTTTCAAATACCATTTTCACTTAAAAATATTATACTTTTTTTTGGAATTTTATAATTCTTATGTCCAAACGCCCACTTAATATATCTTCTTTAATCATTTATCCTTCTAAGTTTTATTTGTCTTCTATTTTCAATATCCCCTATTTTACAATCTAATTACTCCCTAAAGACCTAATAGTTCGACAGCTATAGAATAATAAAGATATTGACTTTGCAATTTTTTTATGACGGTTGTCAGTTTACGTGTACTTTAATTAATTCTACCGGAATAGGTATCGAGTAACTTTATCAACCAAAACTTTGGCGTATGGAAGAAATAGCCAAATATTTTTGTTTGCATCGAGATATGTTTTTACCCGTAATTAAAATGGTACAATTGAATTTATAACGTGATTTATAGACACGTGAATTAATTTGATCTTAAAAATACGAAATAAGTAAGAATAAAATTAAGATTATGAAAATAGCTTAAAAGAAATACAAGTCTCATTGTATGATAAGCCTTCACGGAAGCAATAGTATGAACAAACTTAAAAACAAAAGAAAGTAAGTAATTTTATAATTTGAGAGCAGAATATGACCTTTGTGTACAGATGATTTTTTGTGTCCTCACAATGGATACTAATTCTTCTATTTATAGCTTTATTGAGGGATACAAGATCCTCAAATCAAGCTCCTCCTGAATGAGAATAAAACGACCATTGATGCCTTCATAACAGTTAGCTATTACTACAGAGTTTTTTTATAACGGGTGCTCATTGAATGCTATCCGATGGCATCCCTTCAAATCTTTGCTATCGGTTCCCATGCTTTCGGAATTCATATAGCACCGATCACATGCTTGTATCCGGTGCCAATTATATATTTGATGACTCACATCTTACATATTTTCAGTTCCACATGTCATCTCGTCATTTATCTAGCTATCGCTAACCAATTTTATCACATACAATATGAAAGATATTGCCATGTATTTCACTAGCAAAAATATTTGATGATTTGAACATATTTTTGTGAAAGTTATTTGATATAAAAATATATGGCATTCTTTTATCGTAGTTATTATCAATTGTTTGATTAATTTGATAAGGTCCTTGATTAAATTTTGGAATTTGTCATCGTGATAGAGATCATGATAATGAGAACAAAGTCTCTTATAATTTAATCTAAATTTGTTCTTGATCATAGGATTATTAATTAAGACATTAGTAATCCGGTTAGATCAATATTTATGTAATCGTCTTTATGGTATAAAGATTAGTTGATCTCATTAACTAAATTACATAGATAGATGATGCATATAGAGATATGATCATTGAACCGACTCATTTGATAATTCCTAATGGTTAGAATTACCATAAACTGTCAATAGGATATTCTCTTGAAAAATGTGATGTAAAAGTTTCCTTTGACCTGAGATCGTCATAGTAATTGACAAGCTATTTATTGTGCTTTGATATCAGACACCTATGGCCCTAGGGCGATAGTTGAAAGGATATTGGGTATAATTAAATGCTTGTAGAATTAGTGATTGATCAAGATGGAATCTGTCAACTCTTGGTAATGAGTTTAAGCTCCATGTTGTCATGAATTATAAACGACCAAATTAAGACCTTGGCCAAGGCAATTGAATGAAAAGAAGAAAAGAGTTTCTTAGGTCATTCAATGGTCGA